GCGGACTTCTGTGCGATCGACAGTTCGACCGTCGTTGCCCACAATACCCACCGTGTGCTGCAGACCAAGCTGAAGCAGTCACGGTAACTTGCGCATAATTTAGTTTATAGTGAGTTTAGACTTGCGCTGCGTTTACCGCCTTCTCTCCTCCCCCCACCTGGACCCGGTGTCATGACATGGTCAAGAAGTCCGGAGGCAAGGGAGGGCGCAGGTGGATGGCGTGGCCGAACCCGCAGTTTGGAGCTCCACGTAACAGCCCTTAGTCCACACAGCAAATAACAAGGATTTTAACCAACAACAACAGAAGGGACTGGCGCGTCCGAAGCCGCACCTAGACATGCCGTGACACCTGGCTCGGATCCTACGAAGCGGGAGTGCCATAAAATCCACATTAACAAGGGGCCATTGGAGCCTGACTCTTAGACCACCAGCCGGCCACTCCACACAAATACACAACACTGGGTCGACTGCGAGGTCTAAGTTATCCCGTCAGTTAGCGACTTTCAAAGCCACGGCCTTTAGCACACCGTGATAGCTTCAAGCGCCTCCGATTGTTTATAGTGAGGAAAACGCGTTGAGCCGTCGATCTCACACTCCCTTCCCATTCCCAGGCCCCAGTCACCGTCCGAGACGGTCAGTAGACAGGTGCGGGGAATGGTCGCGGTGGTTGACATATCTAGTGACCTTGTCTGCCCGCGCCACATGCACGACCTGGCCCTCCAAACACATTCACCGGGATTCCACACAGCGGGGGTTGATCGGCGTACATTTCACATGCGTGAGAGTAAACATAGCGCTTACGATGCACAACACATGAACTGCTGTCAGTACAGTTGTTCCAGCATAGAAGATACGGACGAATAACATGCGCTGAACATGCATTTGTATTTAGAGAAATTTTCATATGACCTTTCAGCGGAGCCCTCTACCACCGAAAGTGGTGACCCCAGTAAGCCAATTTTACATTCGTTTCCACTTTTGTGGTTCAAAGAATTTGTAGTCTTTGCCTGAGATTGCATGTTTCACAAGACAATTCCATATATAGAACACTATGCTGATAAAAATGAAATTTTACCAACAGCTGATGACAACGACGACTACATCATGGATGAGGAGAAATGTGAGTGAGATGACAGGCGATAAATCATTGTTTAACACCCAGTCGATTTCACGAATCCCATATGCGCAAGTCTAAAATAACTCAACTTTGGAAAGAGTGTTTATCGTTGTTAAACCAGTTGCGTTTATTTTAGGGCGCTTGAAGATTCCGCTTACGGACATCTACAGAACCAATTGTCCCTGTATGTCCTGGATCTCTCATGGGGTCCTTTTATAACAATAATCCGATTTCCAACATAACTCATACGCTCTTTTATAGAATTAGCCTTCCTTATCTAGTCAGTAACACGACATGCATGCATGTCAGCATTAGCTAAGAATTGTACTGAATTTACGCAAAACCTCACAAAATATCACGTTAGGATTCCTTTATGCGTATGAAGACGTACAAAGTAACTGCCAATAGATGCGAAGAGACGAGTCCCAGGAAGCAGTCTTGATGAATTTCTTGAGGTAGTTCTCCTGAAATTCTGTCTCAGGACGTACTTCAGGTTCGAAGGGACAAGCTACGAACAGGTGAAGGGCACACCAATGGGTTCGCCGATTTCGGGATTCATCGTCGAGGCGGTCATGCAACGGCTAGAATCGCTGGTCTTCCAGCACCACAGACCGAAATTCTGAGCCCGGTATGTGAATGATACCTCCGTCGTTATCGACCGGGATCAACTGCTGATATTCAAGGAACATTCGAATGTGGTCTTCCCGGACATACAATTTACGATGGAGGAGGAAGAGAACAACCAGCTGGCCTTCCTGGATGTCCTCGAATGCCGCAAGGATTGTGGTGGAATAAAGACCACAATGTTCAGGAAAGCGATAAATAGGATGCAAGTGCTGAACTTCAACAACCACCACCCAATCAACCACAAACGCAGTTGTGTAAGGACGCTCTATCAGCGTGTCGAAACGCACTGCAGTGAGCTGGAAGACAAGATTGCCGAACTACAATACCTCCGACGGGTATTCAAAGCCAATGGCTACCCGCGCAACTTCCTCGACCGGTGCATACGCAAAAGGGACGAAAGGCCTAACCGCACGGACACCAAATTTTGGCGAGTGCTTCCGTATGTCAAGAACGTTTTGGAGGCTGTCGACCGCCTTCTCGCACCACTTGGGGTTAAAGTTGCACACAGACCGGAGACAACCATCGGGTGTCAGGTAAAGAAATCAAAAGACCTGCTGCCACGGCAAGAAACGTCTGGAGTCGTTTATTGGATCTGGTTGAGTTGCTGACAAAGCAACTACGTCGGAGAAACCGGAAGACAGCTCCGAATGCGAATGGACGAGCACGCTGTAGCCGTGCGGAAATATGACACCAGCTCTCAAGTTGCGGCTCATTCGACGAGATCCGACCACACATTCAAATTCAGCAAGCCGAAATTCCCGCTAACGTTGACAACCGCGTGATCAGGGAGCAGTTTGAGCCATGGTTTACTTGCCCCCAGTCCATTAACAAATGCAATGATCTTCACCTTCCATACTCAGTGCTGAGACTTCACCTAGGCGGAGTAATTGGCCTCGCAGGAAGCGCACAAGTGAACACTTTTCCCAACACCAGGGTCGGTGCGTCAGATGGTCGAGCAATCATCATACGAACATTCATTACACGTGATGAAATTTCAGCAATTAACTACACACATGTCGGCCATCAAACAGTCATCACACCACGTGCAACGATCTCTGATGAAGGGGGGAGCCGTGAGCGTTCATAGGCATGCGGTAACATGGCGACCGCATCCTATAAATGCTGCAGCCCCTTATGCATGAACCACCCGTATCTGCTTTTGTCTCTGATGATGGATTCGAGCAGGAATCCGAAAAGTCAGGCTAATAAAGCTCTTGTCCCAGAGATCGTGTCTACTTCTTCATGCACACTGTAACCGTCGATGAATTACACACTGTAGTTACTGGTTAGTACTTAAGAAAGCCTCCCGGTAACTTCCAAAACCTTCCTGGGTTGTCAGTCAGCTTAGATGTTTAACTGGCCAGTCTGATAGGCCAACTTCGCGCCACAACTCATATAGCACATTTGTAGTGGTCCTACTCTGAGCGTCAGACGCAACGCTGGGCCTCTCGCGAGTGTCTACACATGTGCCCCAGGGCCGCCTGGCATTAGCCCACTGAGCTTTCCAACTGGCCAATCGGCTTCAAGGACAAATCAGACGTGGCCTGTCTTAGGACGTTTTGATGCATTTCCTGGCACACACACACCGGAGACGCCGCTCACTTGGCGCCGGAAGTGCCATCGTCCTGCTGCCAAATCTTCTCAACCTCCTTTCACGTTATTCTGTGCAGAATATACGATCCTCCCGACTGGCGTACGCCTTCTCTTTCCATTCGGGACCAGGCCTGAAGGCCCTGGTAGCCAGGGTCTCACTCGCAGCCTAGACTATCTGCCATACGCATAGTATTAACTTTCGAAAGCATGCTGTCAGAAGACTTATTCCACTAAAGAGGGTGCAGATAAATAAAGCGCGCCGCAGTAAAAACTCAAGGTTATTTTCATCTGACTTTTCAGTGAAGCCGTCTACCACCGAAAGTGGGGACACAGGCAAGCTATTCGGATATTTACTCAAGCTTTTCGGTTTACTGAAGTTATCGTTTTCTCTAGGGAATTCATGATTTACAAAGCCACTTTATTCTAATCGAAATACTACTTAATTAACAGACGATAACAATGGAGACTACATCATGGATGGGGAGAAATGTAAGTCAGAAGACTGTAATCATATGAGGACAGTTAAAATCCATGTCTTCATACTACCTTCTAAATTAGCATACCCAAATGAATTCTCGTAATATTGGCGTTTTCCCTTTAGGGCGTTTGAAGATTCCGCTTGCGGAGATATATGATGCTAAGTGCCTCTGTGCGTACTCCATTTCTCTTGAGTTTTTAATACCTAACTGCCGAATTTCCCCACTTTTCGCAGTTTTGTCTTTGACAACAGTGTTGACTTTCCTTTTGCGGAAATTATTCTCCTCATCTGCATTTCGGTGACAATTAGTTTTAATGTAGCACTTGGACGTTTGTGAATTTTATTCGTGCTGATTGGATTCAGTCCAGTTTTATTAAGAGAAATACAGGTGAGCGCTTTTGAACTCCCTACTAGTTATAAATCGTTTGGGAAAAGCCCTGATAATGGGAAAGTTGAGACGGCTGTCAGATGGTCGAAAAAGAGGCATCATTAACGTTTACTCATCCGATGTAAGTAGTATATAATTTTGATTACGGGTTGAGAGTGCGGCTGGTAACTGGGAATTTTGACACTCACTGAGTCTACACTTCAATGAGTCCACACAGCCAGAGAGCACAACATCAGTGGACAAGGCATTCCATGAGCGCGCATTGATTTCCTCGGAAATTAAACTAGGCATGCAACCACTCTGTTACTGAAAAAGAACTTTCGTCCATTGATCCTTGCTTTACCTGCGCGTAGGTTTAGGGGACGACCGCGAAAAGTGGGCGTGTTACCTTGAGTGAAATGACTACTGAGGTCTAAGCAACAGTTTTCGCCGTTTATAATGCGGAATGTTAGTATAAGGTCACCGTATAGTTGCTGAAAATTGTGCGTGCGCTCTGTTTCTAGGGCGACCTCTCCAGATCATGGCATTTATGTGGTTTCCATTTGAAATAAGCTAGGTCGTCAGCTGATTTTCACTTTTTGGTTGACATTTATTGCACTTTTTTGTTTCAAACACCCCTAGACGTCCCCGACATTTGTTATGCATTGTATGCAAAACCATACGTAGACGGACGGCTCACGTCTGTGTGAGAAATCAATTGTAATGTCAGATACGGGTACTCGCATTTTAAATTTTATACACAGAGTGTACTCGACTAATGTTACTTCCTCTTAAACTAGTTTATGATCAAAGGACCTTTACGGGGAGGTTGTCTAGAAAATTGAAGAAACGCATGAATATATCAAGACCTTATTTATTTGAAATGTACTTTCAAATTGTGCGCCCATCTCATCCTCGTTACCAGTTACTCACCAATTTCGTCCGACCAAATCGCCTGCGCTCTGGTCTGCACGTGTCGCCCTTTGGGCGTCACCGTTTTAGTTTTCGTAGGGAAAATCCCAGGCACAAAGATTTCGCTGTCCCCTGGTCCGAATACGGGCAGATGTATTTGCGAGTGGACTGACGCAGATGAGGAATAACTATGGGTGGTTAAGAAGCTTCTAGAGCCCGGAATGTTTCTGATGCCAATGTCGGCGAGCCAAATTACCCAAGAGTCAACACGGATGACGAAGTCCAGCGGTCAGTAACTCGACTGCGTGCGATGAGCGTGGGAGCCGATAATTTTGATCGGCACACAGGGGCATGGCAACGGCACGGCAACTGCATGCTTCAGCACCTGGCCAGTCGAGCCGTGATGCACTCGGGAGTTGCCAACTGTGATAGGCATGTGGCAGCCTTGAGACTACATCCTATAAATACTGCAACACTTGGGCAATCCACTATCACTTTCAGACTCTGTCTCCGATGACGGACTGAAGTGATAATTCGGACCGTTATGGTAATAAAGCTCTTTATCCAGCAATCGTGTCTCCTTCTTCGCGACTACTTCCCTGGAAATCGCCTCCTCGCTTCTATTAACAAATGAAACATAACTGCGAGTGGTCAAGATGCTTCTAGGGCCCAAAATGTTTCTTGCTGCAACCGTGGGACCTGGATTCCCGGCGTTCCACTCTATTGTATCCTATGCGACTGTATGCAGGGGTTCATAAGATGCAACGAGACGAGCTTATTCGCTTTTGCATTCTGCCGTTGCAGTGCCCGATTTTTTTCACCGCCGTCTTCTCAAAGGCTGATTTTATGGAACTCTAACAAAATCAGCGTCTAAAGCAGTTTTTCTGTGAGCCCAGTTTTATGCGTACCAGTGTCTTTCGAAGATCCGAGTACTTTTACTTGACCGGGACTTAATATCCCTGTCGCCAGTTCGTGTCGGAATTTCAGCAGCTCATTAAGTGAAAGGAAATTTTCTTAAGAGGTTTTGCTGCTTTAGGGAAATACATCTGAGTTCCTTGTGGAAGTTTATTACTTGGCGTTCGAAGTTTGAAAGCAAAGCAGCAGTAATAAGTGGTTATTCACATACCAACATATTTTTTCCGTTCCAGATTGATCGTCCAAACTCTCTCGGAGAAATGACCAGGCTTAAATGCAGTTGCTTACAAACTGTTTCTGTAGCCTTCACCTTACCTAAATAAAGTTTCATCAGTCCCTATCATACACCATATCGCGCACTTGAACTTCCAAACCATTGGCTTCATGAATGTTTTAAGATCCCAAGACCCGTTTTCCGCATATAATTACCTTCGCCGGGACCCACGTTCTCCCTGGCCCTGACTAAAATTTTGCTGTTTCACTCTCCCCTCCCCTTCGCAAACTTCTTGCCCGTATCTTTTAATTCATTACTTCAATATAATTTACAAGCCTGCAGAGAACTTATCGAAAGCAGACGTATGCTCGCCAAAGTGCCTTTTGAGAAGATATCCTACACCGACATACTGCTCCTACCGCCGAAAGTTCGCTCGCCGTAGCGATGAGGACCAGAGTCGCGCGTGAGAGGCGCCGTGATGAGTTGTGCGTGAGTTTTTTTTATATAGGGACATCTACCCTCACGTTGTCGTTGAACGTAATACTAAGACGACTGGAGATGGGCGTCGGCGACGGAATTATGACCACATTTACGCATACAGCACACGTTTTGTGTCCCAAGTCATCAAGATGGGCGCCCCGGGTCTGGCCCCAGTCCTGGGCAGGATCAAGTTACCTCCTCACTTGACGATGAGTGGCGGGCTTTCGACTTTTGATGACAGCGAAAGTAAGTGGTAAATCCGAGTCGCGCCGAAAAGTCTCTCTTCCCTCTCACAGAGGCCTTACGGTCATTCAGGGCCTTCGAAGTTCCACACACAGTAAATATGAAAGGTCCAGGTTTTTCACTCCGAAGTTAATACGCGCTCTATCGTAGGACTGGTTGTGGTTCTCCTTTATACTCATCACACTCAGGCGTCTTGGTTCTGCTGAATTTACTACCATGGAAGCGATACTGTCAGCGAACATTGCGACAAATGGTAGAGACCGTTAATTCTGATGGGCAAAAAGACGCATAGCAACGCTGTATTGCGTCGCCTAATCAGTCAGAAAATCATCGCAATGCGTGCATCTTTCTGCGATGAATGCGACAACTGTTAATTTTTTGCACGCACGCAGTGGCATAGCGACTGCATCCCTTAAATACCGGTACACTTGTGCGACTCACTACCCCTACCTGATTCTGTTCTGACGATGGATTCGAGTGTGAGTCCGACACTTCAGACTAATAAAGCTCTACTTCCAGCGACCGCGTCTCCCTCTTCCCGACCGCTTCCTGAGACTTGCCTCTTCGTTTCTGTTGTCAGAGGCGTTCAGTCCAGAATCTGATCTGACAGTCCATGGGGTTCCGGAAAGGTCATTTCGTCCCCTCAGTGATTTTTTCTACTGTCTATTTCTGAAGACCTTGATCTAAATACCTGCGTCCGGTTCGTTCAGATTTCTCTGCTCATGGCGTTACGAACACTTCATACACCTAAGAGGACTGAGTTGGTTTATGCACATAGCGCGATACCGACCTCACGAACTCACTGTTGCTGCCCAAGATGCAACACCCACTTTCAAACAGAAGTGGTCACCCCAGAATCTGGTCCGATAGTCCCCTGGCCCTTTTGTCCTCATCGCTGCAAAAGTAACTGGGTCAAGCTATCCAGATCTACTGTTTTGGAGCATCATCGACGTCGCCTGGACCGGCGATCACAACTGCGCCGGGCACAAGCAAACTGGGGAAGGCTTTAGAAACTGACGCTCAGGCCTTTGGATGGCAGTTTTAGTTTCGATTTGCCTGTGTAAATCTACAGCTTTGCCNGAAAAGTGCTCAGCTTTTTCTCCATCCTCACTAATCTCTACGTCTCCGCTAGTCTTCAGGAGGGGGATTGGATCTCTGTTTCGTGTGCTGCTTCTTATGTAGCTGTAGAATAATTTTGGATTTTCCATAGCACGATTCAATAGGTCTTTTTCAAAATTTTGCCGTGTCCTGAGGGTCAGCCGCTTGACTAAGTTCCTCTGTATTTTGTATGCGTTTATGGATACAGGAGTCCCATCAGTAAGAGATTTCTGCCACAATCTCCGTTTTTTATTTATTTCCTTTTTTAACGCCTGGGTCAGCCACCGGGGTCGTTTGTTTAGCCCCTTCCGTGAAAGCGGGCAGTGGTTTGTCAGGAGAGCATGCAATAATTCACTGAACCATTTCCAATCCTCCTCTATATTTCCGGAAAACGCTGATTCCCAGTCCGTATTGTTGATTTCGGCCTTCATTTGATCGAAGTCCCCACGCCAAATATTTCTTCTAATTTTGGTGGGCTGTTCAGGCAAGGAAAAGATTGAATAGTCCCATTGAAGTACAACGTGATCGCTTCGACCTAAGGGAGGCAGACATTGTACCTCATCTATGCTGTCCATCGATTTCGTGAGCACCAGGTCCAAGCAGTTTGACTGCTGCCCCTCACGGACCCTCGTGGGAAATAGGACGTGCTGTGTGAGAAATGACCTGAGTGCCATGTCCAAGAAGCGTCGGTCGAAAGCTAGTTCTGGGCCGCGCGCGTATAGTGAACTCCAATCAATGAGCGGTGCATTGAAGTCGCCCATGATTAGGACGTCAGGCCGGAGAGCAAATCGTCCTAGCTCCTCTAACAGACGAGCGTCAGCCTCGGGGTCACTCCTCGGTGGTCGATAGACGGTCAGAACTTCAAGGCTATGTGATCCTGGTACCCTTATATTGAGCCAGATAGTCTCGGCGCTGCAGGCAAACTGTTCTGTTTTTTCTGACACAAGCAGGCCGTGTTTTACGTACGTGACGACTCCTCCTCCCTGACGCTCTCTCCTGTCTCTTCGAAACAGCTGAAATCCTGGTAGCCTTAATTCGCGGTCATCCACGTTTTCAGACAGCCAGGTTTCTGTCAAAGAGACAATGTCAGGGGAAAGGTCACAGATGTGGATCTTCAGTTCGTCTAACTTGGGCAATATACTCTGCACGTTGGTGTAAAAAAATGTTAGTTTCAGAGTTTTGGGGCGTTTGATTATGGTGCCGCTTGTGATCCCATTTAAGGAAGCTACTGTGCCCTCATCCGGATCGGTTCGGTCCAACGGATTAGGGGAGGGCGCTGCACTATCTGGTTGTTGTAGATCACGCTGCACTATCTGGTTGTTGTAGATCACAAGATCCGTCTCGCCATTCTGCAACCTTGTTCTCAGTTCCAGAACTAATTGTCGACGTTTTATTCTCTCTGCCGGTGTGTAGTCCGGCTGAAAAAAAACGCCGCGGTTGGTGTCTTTGATTCGGAAACGTCGTAAGAGAATAAGTCCTACTTGTTCTTGGTTGGCTAACAAAATCTTGAGTGGTCGGGGACGTGAGTGCTCTGATATATCGATTGAGCGCTTTCCAAGCCTAAAGGCCTTGAGAACCGAAACTTCCTCATTGGGGCGCAGAAGTTCGTTGAGTAGGCATTGGAAGAGTTTCAGGTCTGCCGAGACCCGCTCTTTGGAGGCACCAGCTGTGGATTCGGGAAGTCCCTGAATAATCAGACATTGTCCTCTGACCGGCGACACTCGCGAGAACACAGTGGTTTCGTGCGCCGACATAGGCAATATGTGGTTGCCATGATCTGACGAGGATATAAGCTGCAGTCGATTAATATCCTCATTCGTCTCTGTTTTGTTGGCATTTTCATCAAAGTCGGAAGTTTTTTGCGATAGGTTGAGGGTTTTAGGACCCATGTCATTTCCCGTGATGGGCGACACGGACGCCGACGTCCCTGGTTCCGGTTCTTCGGAGGCATTCCTCGGAGTCTGCTGTTCATGTCCTTCGACCTTTTTGCTGCACGATTTCTTTTTTTCCTCTGGTTTTTTATCGTTGCTTCGCTGGTTGTTGTCTTGTATTTTATGTGTTTGTGCTGGGTGTGGCGTGACAGCTGCAGAAGGTGTTGATGGCGTATTTTTTGTGCGACGTCCTTTGGCCCTACTTCTAGTTATTCGTCCAACAGGTACATTCGCATCGTCAAGTGTGTCTAGTTTACATTGTAGAAGGGTTTTCATCTTTTCCATCTCTTCTTCAAGACGGTTGATTTTGCCGGCCAATATCTCGCATCCACTGCAAAATCGATCGGAATGCGGCACGCATTTACTATCAAGTAAACTTTGCGACATCGCCCGCCGTCGTGCCGCGGTGGCCGAGGCGTGAGCGACTGAGATGTCGATGGTCGGTGGTTCGACTCCGTCATGCAGCGCAATATTTTGTGTGGCCGCGCAAATCGTCATTATGTAGTGGACTTATGCAAAACGGACAAATCTGCAGGAATAACAAGCTATTTCTTAAGGCGCAACTGTGGACAGTGCCTATGCTTATGCTGGATACGCCGAAAATTTCCAGGGAACGCTTTTTTCAGGTAAATCTATGGTAAAGTGAGACAACTCGAGTTGTCCGAATTTAAGCAGCACAGCAAGCAGTGTAGAAATATCGACTCAGCCTTATCGTAGATGTTGCTCCTAACTTCGGTGAGCAATTTGAGACGGTGTATTGGATGGGTAGGCCCTGTAGACAAGCCGAGATTTCCGACAGATAGACCGTTTTTGCTGAAGTTTGTTCTGATCGAACGATAGGAGTATCGATGGCGATAGCTGGAGGATCTTTGTCAGAAAGGCGCTTTATAATCCACGTTTTGGTGAAGGACAGTCGTTTTCAGCGAAGAGACTCGATTTAAAAACTTCCGTCTTGCAACTCAACATTCAAATCGCGCGGCGTGTAGTGCAGGATTTGCTAAGATGTTTAACTGGCCAGTCTGATAGGCCAACTTCGCGCCACAACTCATATAGCACATTTGTATTTTCCATACTCCGAGCGTCAGACGCAACGCTGGGCCTCTCGCGAGTGTCTACACATGTGCCCCAGGACCGCCTGGCATTAGCCCACTGGGCTTTCCAGCTGGCCAATCAGCTTCAAGGACAAATCAGACGTGGCCTGTCTTAGGACGCTTTGACGCATTTCCTTTCACACACACCGGAGACGCCGCTCACTTGGCGCCGGAAGTGCCATTTTCCTGCTGCCAAATCTTCTCAACCCCCTTTCACGTTATTCTGTACAGAAAATACGATCCTCCCGACTGGCGTACGCCTTCTCTTTCCATTCGGGACCGGGCCTGAAGGCCCTGGTAGCCAGGGTCTCACGCACGGCCTAGACTATCTGCCATACGCATAGTATCAACTATCCAAAACATGCGGTCAGAAGACTTCTTCCACTAGAGTGGGTGCAGGTGTATAAAGCACGCCGCACATGCAGTAAAACTCAAGGTTATTTTCATCTGACTTTTCAGTGGAGCCCTCTACCACCGAAAGTGGGGACATAGGCAAGCTATTCTGATATTTACTCAAGTTTTTCGGCTTACTGAAGTTATCGTTTTCTCTAGGGAATTTATGATTTACAAGGCCACTTTATTCTAATCGAAGTACTACTTAATTAACAGACGGTAACAATGGAGACCACATCATGGATGGGGAGAGATGTAAGTCAGAAGACTGCAAGCATATAAGGACACTTAAAATCCATGTCTTCATACTACTTTCTGGTTTAGCTTACCGAAATTAATTCTCGTAATTTTGGTGTTTTCCCTTTAGGGCGTTTGAAGATTCCGCTTGCGGAGATCTTTGATGCTAAGTGCCTCCGTGCGTATTAAATTTTTCTTGCGGTGCTAATGCCTAACTGCCGGATTTCCCCATTTTTCTCACTTTTGTCTGTGCCAACAGTTTTGGCATTCCTTTTGCGGAGATTATTTTCCCCGTCTGCATTTCGGTGACAATTTTACAGTAGCACTTGGACGTTTGTGAATTTGATTCGTGTTGATTGGGTTCAGTTCAGTTTTATTAAGGGAAATACAGGTGAGCGTCTTTGAACTCCCTACTGGTTATAAATCGTTTGAGAAAAGCACTGATAATAGGAAAGTCGAGGAACAAATTTTGTACATAACTGCATGTGACGGGCAGACGGGTGCAAGATTGTTGAAAAAGAGTAATCATTAACGGTTACTTACCCAATGTAAGTGTGTAATTTGGGTGACGAGTTGTGTGAGATGGGCTGGTAACTGGGACGATTGATACGCGCCAAGTCTACACTTAAATCAGTCCACACAGGAGGGGAGTACAACATCAGTGGGCAAGGCATTCCAACTTCACGCACTAATTTCCTCGGAAATCAAAGAAGGCATACAACCACTCTGCTACTGAAAAAGAACTTTCGTCCATTGATCCTTGCTTTACCTGCGCGTCGTTTTATGGGATGACCGCGAAAAGTGGGCGTGTTACATTGAGTGAAAGAATTCCTGGGGTTTAAGAAACAGTCTAGGCCGTTTATAATGCGGAATGTTGGTATAAGGTCACCGCGCAGTTGCCGAAAATTGCGCATGCGCTCTGTTTCTAGGGCGACCTCTCCAGATCATGACATTTCTGGGGTTTCCATTTGAAAAAAGCTAGGTCGTCAGCTGATTTTCAATTTTTGATTAGCATTTATTACACTTTTTTTCCAAACACCCCTAAACGGCCCCGACATTTGTTATGCATTGCATATCAAACCATACGTAGACTGATGGCTCACGTCTGTGTGAGAAATCAATTGTACACATTATAAACTGATAGGGGGCGCTCACCGATCGTTCTTACGGAACTCACTCTTTCCGTTGTGCCTTATGGGCTCTCTCTCGAGCCCAATCAGCAGCCGCACAGCGGCGCATGATATAGGCAGAATGCCATTACCGACAAAGGCAAGGGAGACTGGAATGGCCATTTCCCTCTTATTAGCCGTCATCAGCCTGTCATACCCAACCCCGAAGTGTGGAACACCCGAGACTGTCAGATACGGGTACTCGCATTTTAAATTTTATACACAAAGTGCACCCGACTAATGTGACTTCTTCGTAAGCTAGTTTATAATCATAAGACCTTGACGGGGAGGTTGTCTAGAAAATAGAAAAAACGCATGAAACGTACGTTTGAAATGTACTTTGCAATTATGTGCCCATGTCATCCTCGTTACCAGTTACGCACGTGTCTCCTTTTGGGCGCTACTGTTTTAGTTTCGTAAGGAAAACTCCAGGTATAAAGATTTCGCTGTCCGAAAGTCCGAATACAGGCAGAAATAGTTGCGAGTGGACTGACGCAGATGAGGAATAATCATGAGTGGTTAAAGTGCTTCTAGAGCCCCGAATGTTTCTGGTGTCAATGTCCGCGAGCCACATCGCCCAAGAGACAACACGGATGACGAAATCCATCGGTCAGCAAATCGTTTGCGTGCATTGAGCGTGGGAGCCGATAATAATGATCGGCACACAGGAGCGACTGTGTACTTCGACGCCTGGCCAGTCGAGCCGTGCTGCACTCGGGAGTTGCCAGCTGAAATAGGCATGCGGCGGCCTTGAGACTACATCCTATAAATACTGAAAAACTTGGTCAATCCACTATCCCTTTCAGGCTCTGCCTCCGATGACGGATTCAAGTGGGAATCTGGACCATTAGGCTTATAAAGCTCTTGTTCCTGCCATCATGTCTCCGCCTTCGCGACTACTCCCTGGAACTAGCTTCCTCGCTTTTATTAGCAGATGAAACATAACTACGAGTGGTTAAAATGCTTCTAGAGCCCGAAATGTTTCTTGCTGCAACCGTGGGACCTGGATCCCAGGCGTTCCACCCTGTCGTATGCTATGCGACTGTATGCAGGGGTTCATAAGATGCAACGAGACGAGCTTATTCGCTTTCGCATTCTGCTGTTGCAGTGCCCGATTTTTTTCACCTCCGTCTTCTCCAAGGTTGATTTTATGGAAATCTCTAACAAAATCAGCGTTTTAATCAATTTTCCTGTGAGCCCAGGTTTATGCGTACCAGTGTCTTTCGAAGATCCGAGTACTTTTACTTGACCGGGACTTAATATCCCTGTCGCCAGTTTGTGTCGGAATTTCAGCAGCTCATTAACTGAAAGGAAATTTTCTTAAGAGGTTTTGCTGCTTTAGGGAAATACATCTGAGTTCCTTGTGGAATTTTATTACTTGGCGCTCGAAGTTTGAAAGCAAAGCACCAGTAAGAAGTGGTTATTCACATAACAACATATTTTTTCCGTTCCAGATTGATCGTCCAAACTCTCTCGGAGAAATGACCAGGCTTAAATGCAGTTGCTCACAAACTGTTTCTGTAGCTTTCACCTTACCTAAATAAAGTTTCATCAGTCCCTATTATACACCATATCGCGCACTTGAACTTACAAACCATTGACTCCATGAATGTTTTAAGAGCCCAAGACTCGTTTTCCGCATATAATTACCTTCGCCGGGACCCACCTTCTCCCTGGCGCTGACTGGAATTTTGCTGTTTCACTCTCCCCTCCATTTCCCAAACTTCTTGCCCGTATCTTTTAATTCATTACTTCAATATAAACGTACAAGCCTGCAGAGAACTTATCGAAAGCAGACGTATGCTCGCCAAAGTGCCTTTTGATAAGATATCTTACCTACACCGGCACATTGCTACTACCGCCGAAAGTTCGCTCGTCGTAGCGATGAGGACCAGAGCCGCCCGTGATAGGCGCCGTGATGAGTTGTGCGTGAGTTTTTTTTATATAGGGACATCTACCCCCACGTCCTCTTTGATCGCAATACTGAGACGACTGGAGATGGGCGTCGGCGACGAAATTATGACCACATTTACGCATACAGCACACGTTTTGTGTCCCAAGTCATCAAGATGGGCGTTCGGGTCTGTCCCCAGCCCTGGGCAAGATGAGTAGCGGGCTTTTGATTTTTGATAATAACGAAAGTAAGTAGTAAATCCGAGTCGCGCCGACAAGTAACTCTTCCCTCTCACATGCCTCAGAGGCCTTACGGTCATTCAGGGCCTTCGAAGTTCCATACACAGTAAATATGAAAGGTCCAGGTTTTTCACTCCGAAGTTAATACGCGCTCTATCGTAGGACTGGTTGTGGTTCTCCTTTATACTCATCACACTCAGGCGCCTTGGTTCTGCTGAATTTACTACCATCGCAGCGATACTGTCAGCAAGCATTGCGATAAATTGCAGGACCGTCAATTTTGACGGGCAAAAAGACGCATGGCAACGCCGTACTGCATCACCTGATCAGTCTGACAATCATCGCAATGCCTGCAACTTTCTGTGATGAATGCGACAGCTGTTAACTTTTGTAGTCATGCAGTGGCATAGCAACTACATTCTATAAATACTGCAACACTTGTGCGACTCACTACGCCTACCTGATTCTGTCCAGACGATGGATTCGAGTGTGAGTCCGACACTTCAGATTAATAAAGCTCTACTTCCAGTGACCGCGTCTCCCTCTTCCCGACCGCTTCCTGGGACTTGCCTCTTCGTTTCTATTAACAGAGGCGGTCAGCCCAGGATCTAGTCTGACAGTCCATAGGGTTCCGGAACGGTCATTTCGTCCCCTCAGTATCTCGCCGTCGTCCCTGGAAGTGAGTGAACCAAGCTAGCTAGAAATGCCGTTGCCGTATACTGAGAACGGCAGCGGAAAATGTCCCAGATTGCTAGACCGATAATCACAGCTGTCTAGAGGTGAAATTTCCTGGGTTTCAAGCGACCAAATTGCATTGATTTCGAATTGTATAAGTAAGACTGGCGTTTATTGTGTGCAATGACTGCTAGCCCCAAACCCTCGAAATTCCAGACATTAATAATTACCTAAAGCACTGCTTTTGTTATTTTTTCTAATGCCCATTTCTGAAGATCTTGATCTAAATACCTGCATCCGGTTCGTTCAGATTTCTCTGCTCATGGCGTTACGAACACTTCATACACCTAAGAGGACTGAGTTGGTTTATGCACATAGCGCGATACCGACCTCACGAACTCACTGTTGCTGCCCAAAATGCAACACCCACTTTCAAACAGAAGTGGTCACCCCAGAATCTGGTCCGATAGTCCCCTGGCCCTTTTGTCCTCATCGCTGCAAAAGTAACTGGGTCAAGCTATCCAGATCCACTGTTTCGGAGCATCATCGACGTCGCCTGGACCGGCGATCACAACTGCGCCGGGCACAAGCAAACTGGGGAAGGCTTTAGAAACTGACGCTCAGGCCTTTGGATGGCAGTTTTAGTTTCGATTTGCCTGTGTAAATCTACAGCTTTGCCAATACGTAGTGGCTGTAGGCCCGCTCGCATAGTAAGGACATTAACAATTACCATAATGTGTTTGTCATCCACATTCCTCTGCCCAGTGGTGCTACACACAGCTCACACAACACCTCACTATGAAGAATGTTCGTGACACTCGCGACGAGTCTGCAAAACCTATGGGGCGAATTAAAACTTTAACAAAGAGCAACCCCGGAAATCATGTTAGCATCAGGGAGTTAAGTAACCCAGCAACTGTCGACGCCCCTCTGTCACAGCCGACTTTTAGTCGTCTAATTCTCACTTTCTTTCCACGTTGATTCAGGCCCTGAACGCCGGCTTCTTCTAGCGTACTGTCCGACTCACTGGCAACGGGTACAGGATCGTGAGGCATAAAAACACAGCTCGCCCTCACTGTAACTCTGTTAGTTAAAAGGAGAAGTCGAGCTGGATCATCTACCGCAAGTTGGTCTTCACCACTGAGGATCTTACGCGCCAGGTCACGGAAGAGGAGGCCCGTTGGCTCCTCGACGTGGCTTCACACCGCCACGAGGTAAGGGAAGTCGATGAAGCTACGCCCAAAATCAAGGGCGTGGCTATAACGGCACTGGATGCTCGTGAGGGCTGAGTGCGGACTAGTTCCTGCACTTATCTCCGTGTGTAGATGAGGAAATTATTTCTATTTAATGAAGCCGCCTTTGAATTCAAGGCTCTCACACTACCCGAAACATGAATGCAGCCGCAACCTTCTTTTCCACGCTTACATATGAGCTGGAGGTCTCTTCGTCAGGTCTATTGGTAATCAGAATTCAGTGACATCTTTGATGACCATTAATACAGAGGTTCTGTCCGGAAGTGGTTGTCGAAGGCACTTTAAGGAACATCAATGCAGCTAACGTTGAACAGGTTTAGGCGTCTACGATGGCCAATATTTCAGCTTGTACAGGCTAATTCATTTCGTATGGAGAGAAACCTCAATTACCTATCAAGTGAGCTTCCGTGAGACCACGTTATACGCATCCGGTTTGGAGCAAATTGACGTAATTACATAGGAAGCCCCGGGAAATTTCGCCCGAAAGAACGATCCATGAGGAACTAGAAGGACAAACGAGTCAGTGCGAGACCGTATGCTCGTGAAAACCCAATAAAGGTCCTTCCGATTACCAGACAACTAGAACACCGTTGACGATGTAATCGAGGACTGGGGGATCGACCCAAAAATATCCTTCACCTGATAGTAGCGGGCTACCCTCCAATACGATATATGAATTCAGCCGCATGGTCAGTATTAAAAGCTAAAAAGTAGAACACAAGCTCACACCTCAAAGGATAAAAAGAGAGTCGCACAGAGACAGGTACAAGCCCCGTAGAATTCTCCAATCAAAAAGTTAAAAAAGAGGCTTCGCGTGTCCGGTCATATGCCAAGATGCCCCGCTGGAAAATGTTATTCGCAAATCACACAATTATGCCTTAGAAAATGTACAAGGAAGGCTCCATGAAATCTCTCGTCGGAAGGTAACGATTGCACTTATACGCAAAGAGTAGCTGTATTACAACTTCGTCTTGACGCAGTGCAGGAGAAAGAAATCCATATCATGATCACTTCTTGGTGGTCGGCGAATGCCTAGCATACTTAAAGAGGTGAGGACAGTTATGAGTTATGACGGAGTACCTTTGCCACAAGCCAGTCCATGTCAGCTATACCTTGGGCCATCATAAGACGCAGCGTCTCAGGATCGTCTTCATCAGCGTGCGATTTAAAGTGCTAAAGGGGAATGAGGAAGAGTGCAGTGGTTACCTGACGGATCTGGTTCCTGTAGAAAGGCTGAACATCCGCCGGAAGGAGACGAGTTTTACGCAGCAGATAAGCGTACAACTGAAGCCCTGTTTTGGGTAGTTGTTGCGCCATACTTCTTTGTCGTAAATACTGTTGGCGGAAAAATGTGTGAGGAAACTGAATATGGCTAGAACAAGGGAGAATTTTAACAGTCAGCTTCAAAATAACTACAGCATGTGCGGGGCGAACCCAGTTAAGGCAAACAGACCCGACAGTGTACAAAGACCGAGCCAGCAGCCTGGGCTTGTGCGACCTGCTTGTACACAAGTTCCTCTAAGCAAGTAGCTGATGGTAATCCAACGGTTGACAGTTGATACAGCTCGCGTAATGTATGCCCATTTCGGCGCAGTACGTAGAGACACCTCCAAGTGACGATTACTGCCCCTACTGTAATACCTCACTGGTTAATCCATACAGAAACTAACAAAGAAGTCGTGAACAGAAACGCGGTTTGACACATGGTCTGAAATGATAATGTCATCTGCAAACATCACACGACTGCTGTAAACTACAACCGTCCGGACACTGATTTAGATTTCGAAGAATGGCATTCTAGGTGTGGACCACTAAGGAACACATCTATGCACTGGTAATCGGGGGACGCAGCCTCTTGGGCACATGTGCAGAAGGCCTACACCTTGTCCACAAACGTGCTTGATATGTTGTCCATGAGTAATGTTTCAGTGAAATGTTCTAATGTGCAGAAATACGGCCTCATGTTCTTACCTTCTGCTCAAAATCCTTGAAGTAGTGAAATGTTCGTTAGCCATGATTTCACTTTATGGGGACCACGCTGACTGGCGCCCGAAGTTTGTGTCCATTGGGTGGGAAAACGATTTCGGATGACTTTCCAGGCTTTGCATAAATAACTTATGGGGGCGACTTAAAGGCAGTTTGTTGCCAGTAACTGGGATTCATAAATGATAAATGGGTAACCAGGGTCCGCAAGCAGTCTTTGGAGGACTTTGGTCGTTTTAATACTTGTACTGTGAGTATGGCATAGGGATGAAACGGAGTTTTAAGCTATGAGCGTCAGCAGGACCGTGTACGAAGAGTCCGTGTTCTTGCTTGTATCGGTGCATTCAATGCCTTCCGATCTCCTGAAGCTCGAGTGAGGTCGGATTTAAGGGGGGTTGACAAAGTCGACAAATTCTCTATGGAGGTCATTTCTAGACAGTCTTTCCTGGAAATGAAATAACACCTGGTTGTTAATTCTGAGCCCAATACATCTGTGTTTGCCCAAGTTTTTGTAAAACCCACTATACTTGACTTTTCAAGGGATAGAAATTGCCGGATTTCCGAAAACGCGTTTTGAAACTACATGGGTCAGTAAGCGTGTAACCGGATTGTCCCGCCAGATGAAAGTCCGCCAAATTGCATACACGCGCGGTGAATAGTATCTTCGAGAAGTAGTTAGATGGAAGAAAACTCAGTGACGAAGAGTCGCCCGGTCCACATATCTCTTTTTGCCGACCGCGAACGGATCGGACTTTCTAACATCTACTGGAGATACCTACATACATTGTATGTAGACACTGTGTGTAGGTGCTGCTGCCCCTGGTAAGTGGACGCTGGAAGGAGTAGCATGATAATCTGTGATATGCAGTCAAGCTAAATCAACAAGGGTGGTTAGATATCAAGTTGCGCGCGTTCTATGCCGCGCGGTAAATAGGTTTTATGAACCTACCTCGGGTCAGAAAGCAAAGAACTCTCTATATACTTACTCTGTCTACCTTCCTCGGTCGAGATTCCTCCTAAACTTCAGTGCAAGCAACTTTTGAAATGCCACAATGTGAACTAAACTAGCTTTTGTCTGCGACATAGATGTCTCAGCCTGAGTCTTAAGCAATGTTGCCATGTAGTCCCAATAAGTGGGGAAATAACGTCTTTATGATTGTCTCGTTTCTTATCCAAGCACAATATCCAAATTAGATGACTTCCTTTGGTACATGGACGCACAGTAAGCAGTCTTTCTAACAAAGTGGTATTTCTGGAAATTTGGAAGGCGGTTGCTTCGTTGCATAAAGCTCCTTTGCGTCAGAAGCACGTCTAGCTGTACACGACTGATTAGCGGAGACTATAAATAGTCTAATTCGCTTTCGCAAGTCAGCAGTTTAGGTAACGCATTCTCTTATCAGGTTCGTGAGTCTGGCCCTCGACGTACGTTCCGAAAAAATGGCCTCGATGGCAGATCTAAAGAAATCAGGTGCGAGAACTCGAGATCCGGAATTGTCGCCAAAATGTGGACATTTCATTCGCATAGATAGGATCGGTGGACACAAAAAGCGGAGCTAGTAATGGGGACGCTGTTCGCCCAAATCACACTGCTATTCAACTTTAAAATTTTATTAAAAAAGACTGAGAGGAGCGCCAGCAATACGCACAGGCGCAGGTTTATTCAGCCATCTGACGAAAATAAGTCCAGATAATTTTGAAGGAATCCGTACTATAAGTTGACTTGCCAGAGAATGCTGAAATAATTAATCGAAGCCAACCAGAGACCTGCGATCCCAACAATCTTGACTCCGTGCCGGAATTTTAGCTTAGTAAAACCCAAATGCTTAATTTCACGATTTTCGATGTTGCTTTTTTCTTATTACAGTTTCTGTGTTCAAATAATTTGTAGTTTTAACATCCTACCTTACAGAAGTGACGCAAAGGCGAGGGAAATAATTTTTGATTTTTTGTTGACGGTAGTCATGACGGCTGGCAAAGTCAAAATAGATTGCCCAAAAGCACGGTCCAAAAGTCACTTGGTCGTTGACGAACGTGATCTTAGCTTAACAAAACATGCCAAATATGTGGAATAAGTTAAATAGATTCTGAAAATTAAAATGTATCCTTAATACCTAGAAAATAGTCCCTAAATAGAGTGGAAAACAAAACCATAGAAAGCAAAATACTGTTAATAAACGCATAACTTTCCGAGGCCGAGGCACAGTGCTACGGTGAATCTCAGCGGCAATACGAGATGTCGGGATGGCCATTTGTTTAGCAGTCGGAGGTGCGGTTTAACATAAATTAATCTGCTCTGCAGTCCAGATCCTTCTTTACTACTGCGCAAATGTCATGAGTCGAGAGGAGTAGGTTGCTCGGCCAACTCGCCGAATCCTCCGCCGCACGCACAGTGTCTTAAAATGACTGAGGAAACGTTCGGCCATGTTGCTGGTACCTGGATTACAGGTTGTAGTCCGAATGCGTCTTTGGCCAAAGAGGGTTTGAAGGGCTTGGGTGGAGTTGGCTAAAATGGGGCACCTCAGTCAATCGTAGCCGTTGATGAAGCATCAATAATTGCTACTCAACAACTAACGAAAATCCTTGACAAGGCTATTTGCTTCACTATTTGACAAAGAGTTGATTTCAGCCAAGCAGATGTATCGACGGACGCAGGGTGAACGTAACGAAAGCCATTTGAGGGAGACAAGTGACCGACGACATGGCTGAGGCATGCATTGGGGCTGTGAAAAGTACGTGGGGGACTTGTTCTGGCCGTGCACCTTATTCTAATGACGACTTGCTCACAACTGTGCCCGAGCTGTGGCGTCTTAGTTGTAGGCTTTTGTACATTTTTGATTTGTTTCACTACACTTTCTTGTACATCTGACTTTCCTGTACATTTGTTTGACTAAACGGAAATTCACTGAAACAACTCCGCGGCGGTCAAAGTGTGTTCTGGTTTCGAGTGTGCTTGATGTCGTTATTTCTTGGCCTTCGCTTGTAACCTCTCAACATTCTTAGCGATTTGTATGAGCTGACGGAGACTCCCTCCTCACAAGCCTATTTCACCATATCATCGCGGAACCGACTGCCTCTATTCAACCGGTTCCTCATCGGAATACTATCTCGCTACCTGAGAGGATTCTACTTTGCGTGAGTCTGGAACATTCCTCTTCTGATTCTTCGAATCTATACATTCTTTCTTTTTGTTGGTAAACACAATTTCCCCATTTGGAGTTAGTTTTTCCTGGATATATTACTATTTGTAGTTTTTAAGTCCACGTTTCCACTACACTGTACATTTCAAGAGAGACCGGCCTTTTCGCGAGGAGCTTTTGACGGACTCGAATCGCAGGGCGCTAAAGACCATGCAGAGGTTGAAATACAGCCCAAAGCATAGAGCAGGGCTTGGAGGGGTCTTGAGAAGGAGTCAAGTCGGAACATAATTCTTTGCCGCACGGATGTTCAGAGGAACTTCTAGCAGCTCGAGACTGTAGTGGTTATGCGGTGGAAATGTGTGCAGTCTGGGCGCCATCAAAATCAGGGCTAAATCCTAGTGTTGGATGGAGAGACACTGAAGGCACCAGAATAAGGGGTTTATTGTGCACAGAAACCGGGGTTGTCCTCTCAGGTGGCAGTGGCCACTGGCGAAGCCAGGGCTGGTTTTGACTGCGTCCAGTCATGCCTGAGAGTGCCTAAGGTAGTGGCGGCAGCCGTTTTGTAGTCTCGTGGGCCAAGCTCAAATAATGCCCAGTCAGTGTGTGTTACATTTGCCGAGGGGTGGTGTCCCAGTGGCTTGTTTTGCTGGTTGCGGGGGGTGGAGCGTCCAAGTGGCGCATGGGTAGCCGCGACACTGTGGGCACTCAATTGTGTTCGAGCCGAAATCGGTCGAGTGGCTTCAGGTCAGCGTGTGTGAAACGGCTCGCTGCAAGGGTTGAATGACCTTTAGGTTGCGAGGTCTTGAACAATGACGCCAGACCGGTTATGATGGCTGCCACTACAAGACCACTAACTGATTCTTTGTTACGATGATCGACACGTCGTTGCTCAACCGCCATAGGAGTTAGGTAGGTGAGTACTGGAGTGCAGAAGGGGACGGTCAACACTTTGGAGGCAAATGAGAGCTGTACCCCAGGTGGACAATCTCTTCCAGATGATACATACTTTTCTTAGTAGGATTGGCGGAAAAAAAAAACAACTTGATTGCTTGGTTTACGGATCTATCACTGGACCATGACGGTAGTGTTGGCTACATCCGTATGGCTCCAAGAAAGCGTCCGACAGCGAACAGCACAAACATCTAACGTACAAATTATCTCGAATTGGAATAGGAGAAGAGCTGCTGGCTAGAGTCGAAAGTGTGCGTTGGTGCCTCAAAGTCAACCCATTCGCCGTTTTAATTGGCGTCCCCCAGGGCTCAGTCTCACACCCGTCACTTTTTCTAGTCTAAATCAACGGCTTTGTTGTCACCGGAGTTGGAGCGCTGTTATGTTTGCTGTCGACGTTAAACTGTGTTAAACCCTCGGATCTGACGCAGGCGGATACGCACTTCAGGAGAGTCTCGAATGACTCAGCTGCTGATCCCCTCGTTGACTCTTAAAATTTAACTTTGGTACATATGTGGCCCTAAGACCCCGTACCAGAAGGACCAGTGTGAACCAGATTCATTTCGATACCTCCTTTATGGAGAGCTTGTTTTAGTGTTGAGGAACAGAAGGAACTCGGCGCTTTAGTAACCTCAATTAAGCCACCTAAACAATGTCAAACGGTAGCTCACCGCACGACATGGATACTATTTGCGCTGAGACGAGGATTTGTGTGGACTGATAAGGGATTGTTCGTAAAACCTACGGGATATTCCTTCAGCCTAACTTTACGTTTGCTGTGTGGACCCTGTGTCTGTTGTTTTTAGAAAGATTATCAAAAAATGAAACGAGTATGGGCGAGAGCTACGAAAATGACCAAAACTACTAGTCATCTGTCTTACGAAGTCAGACTGACTAAAATTAATTTGAGGCATTTTTTCTCGGGTATCAATTTAAAACAAGCATGTGCAGCAGAATTTAGTGAGACCAATAAATTTCGTGACGGCTTTTCAACTGCAGCCCGTCTCTACATAACATAGGGTAACGAATGGAAGCGCACAGCAGTATGAAGTTGCACATAGTGGCAGTGCATAAGAGAAAGGTCAAGGTTCAAGGCATTGAATAATCATGATAAGACGTCCACATAAGCATCATATAGGAAAGAGGGAGACCAAATGTTAACAACAAATCACAGTCAGGAGTAACTAGAGGCGTGAGATTACCAGGGCAATTGCAGATTGATCACATGATCTAACTGCTTGCACAGGTCTAGTTTCTCCCTCCGTATGTAAGCTGCTTCCAAATAACGCAAGGTTTGACTTGTATGCGCTCGAACAAGTACTCGAAAAGGTGCTTTAGAATCGACAACATGACCGCTGTCTAACAGGTGTTTCGTTATAGACGAACGGGGGGTTTTGCTTTCCTGTTTGAAAAGCCAATTAGGCAAGTGCTCAGCGGCCCTGGTTGCCGACTGCCTTTGCGTTCGCTCAATGTACTTCCATCCGCAAGTGCATGTGAATTCATACACACAATTTGGGGTGGCGTGCATAGGCAAGGCATCCTTTGCCCGGTTAATCGGAAGGCTTTTTGTGGAACTGATGAAGATAAGCTCTGCTGCGTTGTACGTTATTTCTATAGTGCAACGCAAGCGTCGCTTGATTGTGTTTGAGATGTTGTCACCCTTAAAGTGTAGACATATTATAACGGACTTCTTCGGAAAGGACTGTTCCGTTAACTTTGGTCTTACATTGTTGCTGCACTTCTGAATGAAGCGTACAGGATAACCACGATTTAGTAAGGCTTCTTTGATGCGGGCAATTTCTGTATCAATGGTCTCCCTGGAGCAAATATTTCTAGCTATTTGAAAAAGAGTATGTACTAGATTTCGTTTCCATTGTATTGGCGCAAAACTTTTAAAATGTTAGTATTGCCCTTTCCACGTAATCTGATGGAAGATGGAGCGTCTTATTGAACCATCATCCTCCCTAAACATGAGAACTAGGAATAGTAACTTGTTAAACTGCTCCGTTTCCATCGTAAATTTGATTTTCGGATGCAAATTATTCATCAGAAAAATTAAGTTGGCGGCGTCTTCCTTGTTGTCAACAATCGTGAATATATCATCCACGTATCTCCTGTATAATGTTGTCATGTTTAATTTTGATGACACCTTCTCCTCTAGGTAACACATAAAAACGTCGGCAAGGGTTCGCCCGAGTGGACTACCCATTGCGACTCTGTCAATTTGTCTGTAAAGTCCCCCATTAAACAGAAGTTGAACATCTTTGGTGCAGAGTACCAGCAGGTCGCGTAGTATTTCGGGGGAGAGTCGGGATTTGGACGCATGGGCGCATATAACATCTATTGTTTCATCCAATGCTACATTGGTAAATAAGGATTCGACGTCTAAAGAGATCATACACTTGTCGGTGATGTTTTGGTCCTTAATTTCTCCAATGAAATGAAGACTCTCTTTTATTGTGTAGGTGGAAAACAATTGTCGAATTGGTTCAATTTCCTTGAAAAGCCATTTTGCTAGTCTGCATGTAGGTGAATTAAACATAAAAAGAATTGGCCGTAAAGGTGTGTCCTTTTTATGCGTTTTCGGTAGACCATATAGTCTGGGGATATGTGTGCCTCTCGGTTTTAAGAATAGTGCGGTTTTAGTATCGATCAAGTTTTTGTCCAGCAACTTTTAAACCTTTTTCCAGACTTAGTCTTCCAATGTCTTGGTTTCATCTTTCCCAGACGCCTCTAGACGAAATTTGCGCCGATCATCTAAGATGCGTGGTCGGAGAAATGGCTTCTAGACTTCAATGTGCAGAAGTGTGCCGTCCTCCATCTGCGTCCAACTAACTCTCATTCAAATCAGAGCCTGAGGACATATCATCTGAAAGATATGAGACTCCCCGCAGAATCTTCAGAGAAGGATCTCGGGGTTTGGATACAGAACAATTTGAAACCAACATTGCAGTGCCACAAGGCTGCAAAAAACGCAATGGGAGTGCTGCATGCAATCAAAAGGGCGTTCGTTACCTTTGACCAAGACCTTTTTGGGAGAGTTTACGGCACCTTCGTTCGGCCCCACTTAGAATATGGCATACAAGCATGGCGGCCATGGCTTGTAAAGGACAAAGCATGCCTCGAACGGGTGCAACGTAGGGCAACAAAGATGGTAAACGGTCTAAAAAACCAGTCCTACACGGACAGACTGAATTGCCTTAATCTATTCCCTCTGTGTTACAGGCAGCAAAGAGGTGATCTAATCCTGGTTTACAAGATAATAAATGGCCTTGAGCATGGACTTAACTTTGAGGACATGTTTCAGTGGCACCTTTCACCCAATCTTCGTGGCCACTCGATGAAGCTACGGACAACAATGTCCAGGCTAAACCTTCGTTCTGAATTTTTCACGCAAAGGGTAGTGGAGAAATGGAACGATCTCCCTCAGTCAGTCGTGGAGGCGACATCCCTGCAACTCTTCAAGAAACGCTTGGATGATTATTTGTGTCCCCTGTTTTCCCTCGACAGTCTGAATCTGAGCTAAACACCCCGGTTCCCCACATCTTTTTTCTCTGTGACAATGCTACTAAAATGAATCAAGTACTATGTATAGAGCGAACATTTTCATTGTTACTGTGCAGTTATTTCTAACGAGTTGACATGTTATCAATAGGGTTTTCAAAGGCTTTGCCTATCATCCTTATCAAATAAACTGAAAAATAAACTGAATGCACTTTATTTTCCCCACATAGTCCTTCTGGTTAAGAATAACAGCTCCATGGCCTTTGTCAGGCTTAGGAACTACTATTTGTTCATGACGTTTCAATGCGGATAAGGTAGCTATGTGTTCATTGGTTAGTGTAACAGGAGCTTTACGGTACTGATGAGCAATGTCCACAAATTTTGCTTTCAACCAGCCGACATCGTCAGTGGATCTGGGTACTAAGTCAGACAGTTGAGAATTTAAGTCTTCAAACTGAGCCTCAATTTCAACTGGGTTTAATTTCCTTTTTGAAATGCAAAAGTCAAGTTCTAGTGATAAAGCCTCTGATTGTAGCTTATTACGTTTCATGTCAAATAGATCAAGGATAGTTTCATCTGTATTCAGAGGGAAATAATCGTCCGTAGACTTTTTGCACAATGACTTCCTTGGTTTAAAACGGTATGAGTCTCTTGTCTTCCCTTGTATGATACACGCATGTTTCATGAACATAAACTAGCCGAAGAAACTTATCTTGTCGAGGATATGTTTTATTTGGTCCAAACGAGATTTGTTTATGTCGACAGCCTCAAACGAGTCCTGAATTTTTGATTGCGCAAGACGGTCCAGATTTTTCATGGTAGGACGTAATTTTCCCCGACGGAGGATCTTGTGGCACTCCACTGGGTACTCCTTGCTGCTTATGCAATGCTGAAGAAATCCTATCCGAGTGTTTTCTTTCGCTATTCTACATCGCAATTGTAAAAGTCTGTCCAGAGACTTAATTATATCCGAGGGGAGTTGCTGTTTGAGAAATTAATTTGGTTCTTTTTAATTAGGGCAACTGTACGGTGAACTCAATAAAATCCACCAAATTGACAGTGGCCGCCAGTGTGCCCTAGAGTTCGGCGACTTCTTCTAATGGGGGGGGGCAGGAAATGTCTGCGTATTAATCCTTTTAAGGCGCAGGGGAATTTGGTCCATACGGGAGTCCGACGGAACGCCTTCTTGTAGAGGGTCGTTGGGGCATTCAACGGAGTTTCTGAGGCGGTCGGTCGCTCTTTTAGAAGTTGCTTAAATATTTAGATGCAAATTGGATGCCAATTTACTCAGATACTACCGTGCATGTAACCAAGTCTGCGTCGGTGGTGGGTGTTTGCGCCCGGCTCACACATACTCAGAAGTTTAAAATCTCAAAAATGCCGGCTGTAGAATTTGAAGCAACATTTCCCTGGGGCGAATTTAAAGCAAGCAAGGACAGCAGAATTTAATGGTACAAGAAAATTTCTCGACGGCTTCTCAACTGCAGCCTGTCTTTTGCATAACAAAAATAACAAGTGAGAAAATCAATGTAAAACAGCCAGGTCAACGTATATTGCGCGTAGACTAATCAATAAAATGATAAATTAAAAATGCTGTAGAATAAACTTTATCAATTTTTTAAATATGAATAAGGAAGTCAAAGGTGAAATCATTATTTCCTTAATAAAGTAACATGAAGATATTCATGAACAAATCTCTGATTAGACAAACAAACCTCTAAAGTGTTCAGTTTGCGTTTTTATGATGAAAATGAGCAACAGAACAAAGTTCCTTCGAAAATTGTCTGCCAACCTCAACAGTTGACTCCGTCGGCAGAACACAGGAGGGCATGGGTTGCGCAGATGTTGCAAGTTCAGAACTGATGGCCGGTGACGTTGAATTGTTGGAGGATGAGGTCACGATTAGGGGAGGCAATATATGCACCCAGAATAGATAAGTTACAGAGAAAGTCAGCTGACAAACAGCAAGCTAGCTGTGCACTCAAGCATTGGAGTATGTCGGTAGTCCAAAACTAGACCAGCCTTGACTGGAAGGTCTAGGCAGAGGGCTGCATAGGGGGCATCGGCAGTCTCCATGGCCCAGGAGTAATAACGTCAAAGGGAAATGTTCAGGGTGCGGGAAGGGGTGTTCAGCCAGCGAATTGGGGACCGGTTGATGTCTTGGAGGCGAAGACTACTATTGGAGTGGGATGACAACACGGATGTGAGCTCCAGTGTCCACGAAGAAGAGTCTGCAGCTCAAGCTGTCACAGACGTAGAGGGTGCACTCATCTCTGTATCAACCCTTTTCACTCATGTGTTCGCCTTCGCGACAAAAGTGCAGGGAGATTTGCAGCGACCTGATTTAACACAAAGCGTGATACGGTAGCAAGAAGTGGCGACTGTGCTGGGTCGAGTTAATAAATCATGCGAGATTTATTAGGCCGATGAGGTCTGTACCGTCCGAGCTTAAAAAGAGCCTGTCTGCTCCTGAAGTTTCGCAAATTTGCATACAAAATTCGCCATCTTAGACGTCATGTCAGAAACAGGAAACTCTGGTGAAGCTGCAGTATATAACAGTGAAGAAAGCAAGGCCTTGGTAAAGCCATGCATTTTCATCAACCGGTGAACCATCTAGGTGACTCGTGCGCCCGAAGAATTTTAAAAGCGGTGCCAAAATATGCTGCACTACTGATGGAAAGCTGTCTAGAGTCAATACCAAATATGGTGGAAGTTTTCGGCGATAAAGACTCATATCCGGAAGAGTAAATTACTTGATGAGACTCGATAGTCAATAACGCGATAGTTTCCGAATCGAGAGACAAGGAGCGCAGTTAGATGGACAAGCTTTACTGAGGCGAGAGACATTACAAGCAGTTTAGAAGACAAAGGAGGCAATTAGTATACTAAACCGAGTTAAAGACTGATTTATGAGCGTGCAACTGCTGTTTGTTTGGAGTGCTAGGCCGACAGGGGGCGGCCTGGGAGATCGGCCTCACTGGGGATCAAGAGAGATGACAGATGCAGATGCCCATTTGCTTATTTCCGCTATGACTATCCTTTATAAGATGAGATAACTACTGCTGCATTCTATTAGTTCGGTGACTTGAATTTTTTTGAAGTATTCTAGAATGCGACAGGTAATCGTGGAGCAGGGGACACGGTCGTTAGAGAGAGAGCTTTATTCGCCAAACATTTTGAATTCGTGCTCGGAACCCTCATCAGAGAGGGAGAGAGAAAGCATCGGATACGGAGAGTTCATGTATATGGGGCTGCAGAATTTATAGGACACTCTCTATATGTCACTGCATGACTGAAAATTTATGGCTTCCCTCTAGTCATGAATCGATTTATTTCCTGTAACGATTGTCCGATACCGACATTCGAGTTACCAATGCCTGCGATCTTATCATGTGTGTTGGAGGTTGGTGTGATGACCATTCGACGAGACAGACCACCGACCACCGATGTTTGCCAGTGCGCTCCCCATTTAACTAATTACTCCATCTAGGTGAAGTTGCAGAAAAGAATATGGAATTTGGAGGCCATTAAATTTGTTAATAGACTGGGATTCGGTGAACTATGATTCGAGCAGTTCGCGACTTATGCGATCGTCGCGTCTAAGGAGAATTACAGCGTCGTCGAATTTAAATGTGTGACCGGGTCTCGTCGAATGAACCCTAACGTGAGAGTTGACTTCAATTTTGCGCACTGCTGCCGCGACTTCCAGCGATCGTGTTTCCTTCTTCACGATCGATTCCTGGAACGCACCTATTCATTTCCAGTGACAGATGGTCACTCAAGAAGTTTATTGGCGGTCTTCTGAAGAGCGATTTCGACCGTTTTAGCGATTTCAAACACACTTAGTTCCGCCATAACTAGTGTGCCGAGAATGCAGATAATCCGATTGTGGAACTAAAACGGAGATTGTTTGGTGTGTAGATGAGTGAGAAGATGACAACCGAAGGGGATTTGAGAGAAAAGGGACTTCCGCCTGGTCACTAATCCTCTGGATTCGGACCAACGCTATTTTGATAATTCGCATAAAAAATTCCGTGCCTATTTTGTGTTCCAGTGGCCAAGGTAATACGTTTAGTTAAACTAAACGCATTAAGTTCCTTGTCCTCAATTTATAAAAGCCATGTTGGCACATATGCTACAGTCAGTAATCGTCATTTCTAATTCGCCCATGGTTTCCCTGACAGGCACTTTTTTGCAGATTCATTAACTCCCGTTTCTAAACATCGATGATGGGTAGTTGTTGCTTCTCAATAGGGAGAGAAAAGTTTGGGTGAAAATTTTCCTGAAGAAAAAGCCGAATAATCTAGTTAACGTTTCCGTTCAATGTAGCTGCTCTGGTATCTTCGAGGCTCCTCTGTAAATTGGTGAGTTGCTCCACTACCAGATATCTTTCTTCCATTTGCCAAGCACTTTTGATCAGTAAAACAGAGTAATGTGGATAGATTCTAATGGTACCCAATCTTAAGAAGCACTCTGTACATAGAACAGTTCGAGTTCCAAAAGACCGCCTGACTATAGCTTACCAATACAGCTTTAACCTACCTCTAGTAAATAATATAGCAGTTTAGTCCAGTAATCTGGGCGCGTTCCCTCTTCTTTTAATGTCAAGTCACTTATACCATGTTTAGTCATACTTTAAAGAAAGCTATAAAATATCTGAGATAAGTGCTTGCTTGCTTAAAATCTATTATTTCACTAAGCCTTTGCTAACCGTGGTAACCCACCAACGACCAAGATGTGTGCGAGACTCCACAAAAATGAACCTACTTATTTTTTAAACCGCGATCCCAAATTCTTTAGTTCTTTTCGAATATTAAGCGTTTATTACTATTATACGGAATTTCCTTAGAATCCCATATGTGGAATGAAATAGGAAGGGTTCATTTAAGCACATTTTGGGCTCAGTAATTCTGCCTATGACTCATTGCAAACTTTTTCGGTTCTACAAAATAACAGTTGCATATGGCAGTGCAATGGTTTAACTTTTACAGGAGACAATATTTCAGTGTTTTCGCATGTCGAGAAAGCCTGACGACATCAGCCATTTGTTGGGAGGATGTGTGCATGATTCGGTAGCTTATAAATTGTCATGTGTTCACAATTGTGGAAACATGGTCTTTTTATAAGTCCGTAAGTCTACACCGGAATGAGGTTGACGTGAGGTCTGCTTGTTGTCTGGTCTAGTATCACTGGAACCCTAACTTAGTGTCTGAATCTACTTTACTTGAGTTTATGATCCGAGGACAGTTAGGATCAATAAGTTGAGCCATTGACAACAATAAATTTTAGTTCGGACTCGAAATCAACTCGAAGTCCTGACATTAAACGTCATCGACATTGAAATTAAAACAACGTGAGGTTAATGAGCTTAAAGGAGCTGCTAGCAATGTTTACGCCCATTTTCAGTAGTCCAATATAGTTATTCTTAACGCAGATGCGCCGCTTAGGCTCAGTGCTTACTAAAATTTAGTTGCCATTCGACGAACTGGACAAGCCCATTACCTTAATATTTTTACGAAAGCTACTGCAGTAAACAGGGATTAAGTGACTCCGCCATTCGAACACACTGAAAGGCCTTTGTGGCTTATGACTAAACAGTTGCCATGAAAATTACACGGGATTACAATGCATTTGTTTTAAAGTAAATTGTTTATTTCTGATAGTACCCTTCAGCACAAATATTACCAGTAGGACATTTTGCCGGATTGATATGCTTATAAGAGAACGATACAATGAATCAGATGCGTCGATCACTGTAATCTACAGCTATTATCAAACATTGTGGCTAAACTGATTGCTGAGGCTTTTTTTAGTGTCCTCCTATGTCGGTAAAGGATATCGGTTGCAGACATATAAAACGTCATCATCAACTCCGGGCCTTGATTCGATGGTTAGTCGGCATCTTACGTTTGACTCAATTACCCCAGTTGTCACATAAAATCTACCTTTAAAGGCAAAACGCTTCCATCAGGAAGTGGATCATGCTTGCGAAAGAAAAAGCTAAAGAGTGCTAATCATATTGATGAATTCGGTGATTTTCGTGCAGTTCTAATTAAAAAAGTCAATGTAATTATTTACTGTTCGCGTTCAGACCTTTAATAATTTACGAGTAGATTCAAACGGTCGGTTAGAGTCAACGGTAATGACAAAGAGACGTCGCTGGTCCTCCCCTTTTAGATGTGAAACTCACTGCAACATGCACTCCGTCATTCTTTGTTCGCTATTAAGAATTCGCGAGATTTCGCTGCTAGCCTGAGCACAAAAGCGGTTTGTCACTGCGTCCTTTTTGTCAGCAGAGCAGACGATAGAACCTCGGAGTGACAGTTTGACCGTCTTTACCGATGCTCAACGATCCCGTTAGGCGGCTCACTTTGGCGCTTTCTCTCGAGCCCTGCCAGCAGCCGCACAGCCACGCATAATATAGGCAAAATAGCATTACCAGCAAAGACAAGAGAGACTGGAATGGCCATTTCTTACTTATTAGCCGTCATCAGCTAGTCAAAACCAATCCGGAGGTATGGAACACCTGGGACCTGATCCTGCGATCTGTTTGCAGGAAGTCCAACACCTCTAACCACTGGATCACGGCCTCGTTTCCCTGTCGGTTGCGGTTGAGTACATGCGAGTCCATTATATGCAGTACTCAGTATATCCTGTTGCAGTCCAGTCCCTCGTTTCTTTTTCGGTGATGCTATTCCGCCTATATCACGCGCTGCTATGCGGCTGCTGGCGAAGATTGAGAGAGGGCCCCAAGGTACAACGGAAAGAGTGGTTTCTGTAGCGCGATTGGTAAGCGCTCTTCTACCTGATATCAATAGACAGGACAATATGCACGTGGCTCAGGGGTTAGAGGCGTTGGACTTCTAACCAACAGGTCACGATATTGACCTTGAGGTGTTCCACACCACGGGGTTGGGTAGGATTGCTGACGACGGCTAATAAGCCAGAAGTGGCCATTTAATTTTCCACTTGTCTTTGTCAATAACAGTGTTCACCGTAGGCTTTACAGCAGAGTGAGAGCAGGGATGGCGACTTACACATCTATTAGTTTAAAGTGATAGTAGGCCCGCGTTAAATCTACTGTACTCCTCTTACCCACCTAGGCCTGGTGGCAGGCAGTGTCAAGAAGACCGGAGGCGGGAGGGGATCCAGGTGGCTGGCGGGGCGGAAACCCACACTTAGGCGGCGTGCGGTGGCTGACTGTGCGAGGGCAGTGCAGTCAATTGAGGCGATAGCGCCTGGCGTATGTTGGTGCTCCAAGCACTGGTTCGCCAACCTCTGAGCGTTGGGTTTGTAAGTGTCCGACTAGGCCGGTGCCTAAGGTGAACGGAACAGTATGAAAGAACGAAATAACTTTAGGGTGGTGGAGATCGCAAACTGAAAAGGGTATAAAAGGACTACTTAAAACGAGCAATTAGTCTGATTTTTAAAAATTAAATACATGCCCACACGTGCATGTGCAAAAAGACTGGTATATCAAAACCAGCAATGTTGAAAAGCAGATACAAGTAAAGATGCCAGTTCCAGGAACTAGTTTATAGGAAGAAGAAGCGATCGCTAGAACAAGGGCGTTATTCGCCTGCCGTTTCGGATTCCCATTCGAACCTATAATTAGAGACAGTGATAGAAACCGTCTCTGACGATGGATTCGAGTGAGAATCCGAAACGTCAGACGAATAAAGGCCTTGTTCCAGCGATCGCTTCTTCTTCGTCTTATCCTTCTTCTTCTTCCTATCAATGTTAAAAAGCTCCCGTCTGCGTTATACTCACCCTCATTTCAGTCGGTCCTGCAATAACAATCAACACACTACACTCACAAACTCATTTGGGGCAAACAAACTGAGATATTGCATGCTCAGCGGATAGACAGTGACGCGTGTGGACAGTTAGGGTACCGTGAAAAATGGCACATTCTCAATGATCAGCTTCTCTTTTTCACGAGATAATGCTGCCGTATTTTGTCACTGTCTTTTGCTCCTATTTAATGCGCAAGGAAAAGCGTGACAAACGATGCGAATTTGCATCTTTTTGAAGCAGTAAAATCAAACAGAAGGGTTCTTGATTTAGCTGTTCGTATCAATTTTAATTGCCATTATGTACGAGCCTCTAAAAGCCAACCCCGGTATCTATGAGCTTCCTCAGTAGGGACGAGATTCTTCAAATCAACTGCTATTTATTACATCAATATGCTTGGAGAGACAGTTTACAATCAACGTAGTATATGTTTAGTTCAGGGTGATTCTACTGTAATACTCATCTGTCCTTTTACAAGAGGACACAAGTTTAAATGAGAATTAACCCCCCCCCCCTCCCCAGAAGATTCTCTGACGTTCACAGACAATATCAAGCCGTTTATGTGCACTCTGATGCTTCGAACTGCCAACCAGCGTTCCTTTAAAATACATCCTTAGTCCAGTTCGCAAAGCTATGTCCACGCGCGGTTGGGTATAAAAGGGCTGTCAAAAAAACCAAGTGACTGAGCATTAGAAGCGAATTGAACGGCAAGACCAGCGCACACTCTGACCTCAAAAGTCGCCATTTATCATAAATTTGCTTGCGACTACACATGTTTAGGATTATGGCATAAATGGAAGTTCCAGTTGATAAAATTACCTCCTCATTTATTTTAATTTAGAGTTATGAAAGGGTTTAATCTTAGTCAAGCACTATCATCAGTTGGGCAGCATAAACAACCCTGCTCTGAAAACTCTCGAAACAGGCGCAACACTTCCGACACTCTGAGTAACGAGCTTGCCAACATGGAGGTGTTGGTGAGACGCTAGTGCCTGGAAGTCTTCCCGGCAGCATGTCTTATTCCTATTCCTTGTTACCAAACCACGCATTTTTCACAAGCTTACTTTGTCGCATATCTCCGGGTTAGAGGAGGAGTGTGGGAGGTGTGATTCAATTGGTCTGCGGATGACAAAGCAAGATGAGGGACTGTTGGGGAAGCCGAATTAATCAAACGGCAGATCATAGCAACAGGAACCCTCTGATATAATTGGCCTTGCGCTGAATGCCAGGTAGATTAGGGTTACTGCTCGGATTAGGTTTAGGACAAAGGGATTTGAATCCACCCTGGAAGTTACCACAAAGCCTTCTGGACAACGATAGGATGTAGGACCCACAAGTAGATTGCATATACAAAAATATACTCTGAAATTCATTGTGGCTGTAAACATCACTTACTATTCACCGTTCCCATTGTTTTAAATTCCCCTCCCTACCTGACTAAACGACATTCCTTGAAAATGGTTTTTTGTTTCTTTTTTAATTATTGCGCCCACTCTCTTCGCCAAATGATAGGGTACGATAAGACTTTTAACAGAAATTTGTCTATTTTCTATGTCCTCTTGCTCTCCGTCCTGTGTGTTGTCCCATCCGTAAAATCCCCTCTACCATCATTCAACGTATGACACAGTCAACAGGCTAGCTCAGGTTAGTTGGGGGTTCTGCACCCTATCGTTGCCGTAATCTGTATTTCCAGGGGTCATATCCTCGTGTCTTACCGACGGAAACTATAAGGGTACTGTTCGCTGCAAGTGAAATGCAAAGAAGGGAGTGTCCGAAAGGTCATTTTGCGTTTGATACATCGTACGAGTACGGGGGGAAAGAAATTAAAATGACTGTTCAAACAGCGTTGATTTAGGCAGAATTTTATTACCGATGAAGATAAGGGAGACTGAAATGGTGATTTCTGGCTTATTAGCCGTAGTCAGCCACTCATACCCAGCCCAGAGGTGTGAAACACCTGGGACTCGAACTCGCGACCTGTTAGTCGGGAGTTCGACGCCTCTAACCACTGAGCCACGGGCCAGTTGTCCTGTTGGTTTCGATCGGGAATATACAATGGTAGAGGGACGCTCACCGATCGCTTATACAGCACTCACTCGTCCCGTTAGACTTTACGGGCTCTTACTCTCTCGCGGGCCCAATCGGCGGCCACACAGCGGCTATTACCAACAAAGACAATGGAGACTGGAATGTCCATTTCTGGCTTATTAGCCGACGGCAACCAGTCGTTGATTTTGCATTAGGGCTTTCTACCCAATAGCTGTATATTAAAAAGTACCCTGCTCACTGTGCAGGCACATGCTTCGAAACGTCTTTTTGATCTTTTATGAGTCAAACTGCGTCGACATGCATTACCATGTTTGCTTGTGAACACGTCGTCTCAGACTTCAAACACCCATTTACTGAGTGTAGTAACTTGTCACGGGTATTCTGCGCGAGAGGCAAATATGTAGGGGGATGGATTGACGTTTAAATGTGGCTTAAATTTATATTGCCAACCGTCTCACTCAGCAGATCAGTAGTTTCGAAAGTTTTGTTTGCGCAGCAGGAAAATTCAATCGGTTCGCATAAATGGAAGACTTGTCTGATAAGATGATCTCCTCCAATCTGACTGCTGATCATGCCAATATGTAAGTGTTGGTAAAACGTTCGTATCTGAAAGTTACTCCGGTTTGTGGATGAAAAAGTAGGATAAGGGACTACTTGGGGGACATAATGCCATTTAGTTGTTAGGGAAAATAAGGTTTGCATGATTGATAGAACGGTAGGACGCTAGAATTGGACTCCCATGATACAAATGGATTTGCCTTGAATTCCAGGGAAATATGGGTTAGTTTTAAGAGTAGGTTTAGGATTTAGTTTATATTTAGGGTTAATATAGGGATACAGATTAAGGTTTTGGGACAAGGTTAGTTTTAAGGGGGCGGCATTCCTGGAGTATAGCGCAAGGACTCCGTCATCACGGGGTGTCTGTTCCGGTGCATTACCGAGACAGAAAATGAGGATGCTGTTTTTTGCAAGCAAAATGGGGAAGAGAGGAAATAAGAAATGTCATCTTTGCAAAGAATGCCTAGTTTGAGTATGTGAGGAAAGATGTCGGAGCCACTATTTAAACACTGGTTGAGGTCCCATGAGGACTCCTATTAAAGGGCTTAGAACTGAACGTGCCAGGCTTACTCTTTAAACGTCCTTTTTGGTGCTTGATAAGCCATGGAGAACCATTTCCTTAGATCCATCCTCTCTAATCTACCATATGTCGATGCGACGGTATCAATGCATATGCAGGCAGTATTGCATGGTTGTATCACATTACCCACAAATAATAGGGGCTAAAGGTAGGTGAAAAATAATTGATTCGGGAAATCCAAATACACTTTGGTGGAAGTATCAGGAAGTTTGCTTTTCCATAGACTATTGCTCGCTTCATCCGCGAATATCATTCGAGTTGAGATCGGTTATTTTTCTTAAGCATGCCGCGGTTTTCTGCTGCGTTATCTGCTACTCTCTCTCTCGCTCTGTTCCTAAAAATAATACCAACTCGTCGGGTTTTCAAGGAGAAGAAAAGATTGTTTCCGGAAAGCATGTTAGCAATTCACTAGTGACCGTGAGTAATTTTTGTACGTGAGAGAGAAGCACCCTCAAACAGAAATTCGTACAAACTGATGCCTCATCATCAAATAAAGTGAACTATCAGTCACGGCCAACTGTGTCCAAGACTTTCTGCCATTTAAAAATGCCCGTCACTGAACAAATACCAAAGACCTTTTTAAAAATGCGGACAGAATAAAAAGCCACATTTCGGTTAGTTTGTTTATCTTCGCTTGCATGCAGTCGCCTGTGACAGAATGCGATTTACAAATATAATCTGATTAGACTCATATATATACATGTATATAAAGTAGGTGGGCTAACTCATGAAATGTTAGTCGAAATTCCGAAATGCATTTCCATCTCGAAGAGATTAATTGAGTACGGTTGTAAAGCTAGTCATCCGAAAGCCTTAGGATGCCGACTTTCGAATGAAGTTCTTTCTGGCTATATACAGTAATGAAATTCTGTAATAAAATGACTTCTTATGTATCATGAATTTTTCTCATTGATCTTCGTCGCCCTTAAATATTCAATTATAGTTCATGGAAAACATGTAAATAGATGTTCATTCTTCTGCACATTCAGTAGATAATTATGTCTTCATTCAATTTTATACCCGAAGGAATGGCATAATTCGGTTTCAAAAGTTTCTATTTGTGTAGATTCTAAAACCACGAAATGGCCGTTTATGAAACGCCATGTGTCTGCATTTACCAATGTGGCTTGTAAAGCTAACAATATGACTCGAATACACTGGTAAGTTTTATGAACCCCATACGGTCTCCCCTTAAGTCTGTAAAGAAATGTATGGTTTTCCATACGCGGAAACTATGAATACAAGTGTAACGGCAGGTCGGGTTTGAAAGTTATTCAGGAATTGGAAAAGTTTTCGAAAACCAAATTATATCCCTTCTTCGAGTAAAAAGTGGACAATAACGTATTTTTCTGCCAAATGAGCAAAAGAATAAATGTTTAATTAATTCGTTCTATAAAAAATAAAATTGTATTTTCAAGGGCATCAAAAACCGAGAAAAATGCATGCCAACTAAGTAGTCATTTCGTACAGGAGTCCATCGTCACTGTCAAGAACAACAACTGAACGACGACAGTTATAAGGGATATCAGCCAATTATTGATTGATGACGCGGAACTGGTGGTGACTGCGCGAGTCTTCGCACCTCGGCAAAAGGTCAATAATACGATTGAGGGGGTTCCCCTCCAAGGTCCAGGTTTCAATCAGTCCTCGCCCTGTATTGTTTCTGACGTGAGTGATTATCTTGGTGGTTGTGAAATTAAACTCATGATCAATTTCGTAGTCTGGGGTGTTTTTCTTCTTACCACTGTTAGTGACATGGAATGTGGATACGCGCTTTGCGAACATAGAATAATCAAATGTTGTCAAACAAAAAGAATTTTAGGGCCACTTTGAGCGAAATATTGACCCATAAAATCCTCCAAACATTTTAGCGAAAATATACCTGTGGAAGAACATCTGTCAAGGTTGTCGTCACATTTCATGCTAAAAGTGCCAAAAGTTTATGAGTATTTTCTGTAAAAACAGCGTTTAGCCCCCTAAAATCCATTTCAATTAATCGTGCCTTACGGACTGGCTGCAAGAAAATTCACCCAATACTCCTTGAACTTGATTTCGTGTCTAATGGATAAAGCGGTAATCTGTTTGAATATAGCGTCTACTTATTTTCCTGGAAAGCGGGTATTTTTGATCCACGTGATTTCCATCGTTAATGTGTGAACGACTTTGCTCGAGGTGTTTGCATCTAGGGTCAGGTAAGTGTTAGCAGCAAACCGAACAGAAGCCACGAAGGCTTATTTCAAATACAAGAACTAAGGGTCCACTAGTGACGTCTACGAAGCTACATGACGTCTGCGTTCTAATATTGCTGTCGCAGTTTTACGCTTTTTGTGTCGCGGATATGGATTTCGTGAGACGACTTTAGGTTTTTTAGATTGAGAAACGAAAGCTGTGGCTTGATAAAAAAAAATCCACACGTCTTTTTTAGCAGCAGAGAAAACAGAGAAGGCCCGTCGTGATTGCCATGATATAGCCTCCTTAAAAATATAGGGGGTAGGACAGTGCGCCATCCTCCTGGTTTTTTTTTACAAATTACACAATTTCTTCGTCTTCTCGTATGATGCGTAAAATTGTTTTCGACTAAAACGTACACTGTGTGACGCCCTGCACACTCGTTCTTTTCGCGGCTAGACCATGGGAATGTCGTAACGGTGAGGAAGATTCCACGCAAACTGAGCAAAATACCACAGTTATTATCTCAATTTTTTAATCTCACATGGCCCTAGCCCATTGGTTAAAATATGATGGCACGTTGGGGCCACCGTGTTATATATCCACAGTGGAATCCTCGTAAACTATTTTGATTTCCTGAGAGGGACAAACGCACTCACGGACTTCAATCTGAGTGGGGTACCAGTGCGCGTATTGTGATATACTTGCATCATCTACTCACGCTCCGTTACATTCGAATTGCTGAGTACGAACGAGAGACGCCAAGGAAATGCAGCTTTCAGCGTGGAAAATTGCGCTGGCCTGTTTTTGCCTTGTTGGTAAGAAAGCCGAAAAAGTTAGTAAAATCTGCTAAAAAAGTTCACGTTGGGTATTTAAAAAAAATCAGTCGACGAGGCCTGACAAGGCTAGATAGCTTAATAAAGTATTAGATAATCGTGCATACGAACACGCATGTTGCTTACCATTGCAACTCAAGAATAATGTATGCTAACATTTACTCCTTTAGTCGGATCTTCTAATCAGTAAAAAATGGCGTAATAGAATTGATAGTAAATTAGTTGAGGAAAAATGACAAATATTGCTATGTGTTATTTCTGTAGGTCTAGTGACAATCGTGAGTAGGACGTCACACGGTAAGCTACAATTTATTTATTACTTAAGTATGCGCTACTAATTTTTTCCTTATACTTTAAATATAGAAATTTAATTCTCGTAGTTAAATTACGAGCAAATCGACTTCTTCTTTACCCGGCGACCTTTCTTGCGCTTACATCTAGGGGGTATGATTTCAATAACAATTTTGCAAACATAGGACGACACTTACTTAACAGATCCCGTATTTCAGTTGATCTTACATTAAATTCTAAGGGAAAAAAGGTTGGGGCTAGAGTTGACATTAGGGGTAAGGTTAGTGTCAGGGTTTAAGCTGGGGTTAGTGTGAGGGTTGCGGTTGAGACACGAGGATAACTGCTCTTCTTGAACTTCAGTGCAATGCCACATTTCTTTTGGTAGCGTTCCTTTTTGCCTGCACCATATGCATGTTCAAATCGCGGCTATACTGGTCATGCTTTTTAAACTTCCAGGAAGGACAAGCTTCGTTGCCTCTTACCTGATTAGTGGAATCATAGTTCGACCGTTGATTCGACAATTTCTACCATGTGCCACACAGCAAGGTGCAGTAGGCTCGGTGACTTGAGCGTGAATTAGTTTATAGTGATAGTAGACTTGCACAGCATCTACCGCACCCTCTCTTACCCATTCCCTAACTGAACTCGGTGTCCAAACAGAACCAAGGGCGCAGGTGGCTGGCATGGCCAGACCCAAAACCTAGGCGTGCTAAC